CGATGGGAAGACTCGGCTTCTTCATAACGGAGTAAACATGAACTGTAAAGAAACGATTTCAAGGGTTAAACCTGTTACTCACTTCCTTTGGATGCTGCTTGGGCTTCTCACTCCTAAACTCATACTAGTGGCCTTCTAATCATCCTACGAACCACACTTTAGGGTTATTAGCACAGTAGCCTCCTCGCTGCTAATGTAAAACTTGAATCTTCTAGGAAGAGTGCACAGAGGGACAGTGAAATGGCCCATAGGGTAGTCGGGTAGACCACATCTTCAGTGTCTCCCAAGATATGGTGTATCTAGCGGTGACCATCATAGAAAACAAGATGGCCTACTGACAGTGGATAAAATTGGCTATCAGGTGAGCCACCCGAACAGGCAACTACTACCAACTTAGGATTGACAGCCACTTGGTAACCCGGTGAAAGATGAACGCCAAACGGTTAACAACGAGGTTAGGGACAACTTAGTAAAGCTCCTTACCACGGGAGGCAGCAACGGTACTCACACCGAAGTCATTCGAAAAATTATTTGGCATACGCTCCCACGGACTGCTTACCACCAACCTATACGGAAGCCCTCTGTACTCAAAAAGTCACCGTAAAAATTCCGCATTACCGTCTACTTGTGGCAGGGTCGGGTGCTACTTTATAGTGCCCTCTAGTGTGCAGTGTAGTGAATGTAGGGTCTGGTTATACGACAACTGCACAAGCCCCACACCCTCAGTACGTAAGAGTTACAGCAACGCGGAAGTGTCTGGCTTTGTACGTTGTGCGGCTCGCATAGTCGCACTCTTGTAGAACAAGCAAAAACACTTCTAAATACGACAACTAAGAAACTGTCCTCGAGAGTAGAAGCCAATAGCTGTAACAGTGATAACGACACGGCATCCACTAACACAGATTGAAGTGGAAAATTTTAAGAACGTCCCGCGACAAGCTGCAAGTCAGGCGCGCAGACTACCTACCAGGTTTGCTGACAGCGACTTGTAAAAAACTACACCAAGCAGGGTGAAGCGAGTGTCTTCTGGATCTCGCATCCCCAGAGCTGGCAGACCCAGTCTGAAAACTGCCGACCAGATGAAAGAAACAGGAGTGGAGCGCTCTCAGTTCCAACGACGGAGCCGTCCAGGCCACAGGTCATACCCAGTCCGGCGACCCAACCATTGACAAGAACTAAACAGAATGGAATGCAAGCCCATTATGAGGCTCTCAGCGCCAAGATCACTGGACTAGACTTTAGTGAGCCCTGCACACTCGACTCTGAAAATGGCAAGTAACTAAGTCTAAACGGCATGCTAAGAGGCCAATAAAGGTCACCGAACCGGCTACCATCACTCCACAGAGCAAAGACAGTAGGGATCCCTGACTGGTTCGTAACCGTCTACAGCGTGAAAGGAGGTAGAGACCCAGAACCACTTGAACGTTTCAAACACGATCTTGGCAAAGTACAAATCCTGATAGAACAACTTTCATCGGAAAACCTGCCAGGAGTCACCCCATTCAAGATATATAGAGTAGGAAAAAAGGAGACAGTCAGTACTGAAAATACGTTTCGGCTACTTAAAGTTACGTTCAAGTCAGCTGATGAGAAGGATCGGGTTCTGAAGAATGCTCACAAACTTCAAAAATAGTGTTCGTGCGAGAGGATCCGACTCTTGCTGCTCGAATCGAAAACGAGAAGCGGTAGCAGGACCAAGATAAATATTTGCAGCTGGAGAGCAAGATCTGAAAGTAGTGGGTTTTCGCTTAGTAAGGTTTTGGCAACGAATGATGCCGAAGCCTTCATGGATAGGACGAAAACTCACTTAAGTGGTTGCGTTGTCTTGTACATGAATGCACGTAGTCTTTCGAACGAGTGAACTTGGCCTATTAGTGTGATAAGTTACGAAAGCCCTGACATCATTGCTATCTCAGAAACTTGGATCTCTTCTTGGATCAGGGACTGTGAAACACACTTACGAGGATTCGTCCTTTTTGGAAGTGACAGGTGAGCACGCCAAGGGGACGGCGTCATCGTTTACGTTAAAAATAAGTTAGCTGTAAAAGCCATAGAAATAGGTACACACGAAAGTGGGGCATGCTAAATGCTGTACTGCCGACTAAAATGCAAGGGGCAAGATGTTAACGTAATCGTAATATATTGAAGCCCTGAATGTGAAGCTGCAGACTTCTTCCTGAATAAGCTGACCCTCTGGACAGGTAAATGCCGATGTCCAGTTGTAGGAGACTTAAACGCGTCGTCAGTTGACTGGGAAAGACTGACAACAAAAGCACCGCGCAATTCATTTGATCACAGATCAGTGGAAATACCAATTTCCTTAGACCTCATACAGCATATTTGGGCACCAACCAGATATGGTGTCAGCATGCTTCATCAGTGATGGAGCACCACAGAGAAGCCTGCAATAAATACATCGTTGCTATCCGTTGGTCTCGAATATGCTTTGAAACACTCCTTTCCCAGGCTGCATTGGAACATCCGAAGAGGTTATTTTCCTAAATGAACTATAGAAATAAAGTGTATCGTAGTATGCCCGCCCTAACCAGTGGGACTGAAACTGATTGTTTGATTGAGGACGATGGGTGAAAAGCAGAAGCCATTGCTGGATATTTTGCTGAGGTCATCACACGGGAATCTTCTATGGATACTTATCCAACGGTGGAAGCACTGACATCCAACAGAATAAACTCTGTGGATATCGACCGCTATGATGTATTTCGGACATTTGGTAAATAAATAAATGTTTTATTCCCACGTTAAAAATGCTTTAACATGAGAGAAGCCAGTTTACAGGCTTCATCACGTTGATACACCTCAAAATATCTGCAAGACTTGAGCCCTCAGTGGTACTGACAGAATGTCATTAAACTCAATTAAAAACTGCAGGAGGTCCTGCTAGTTATGAAACGAACAAGGAAGCATTACTTTGCAGCGTACACAAAGTGTTAGAGTTTAGATAATAATAAATATCGTCTTCATCTAACGGGATTAACATGAGGGATACCAGTTTACAAGCACCGTCAAATTCATGATTTTTGAAAGTTTACGAACTGGTATCTAGTATTGAGTAGTTTACATATCAAGTCATAAGTGTGCAAAATCTGATTGAAGTTCGCTGAAATTCATGAGACGGATATGGATTTCCACCTCCCATCTCGGACAAGTTCCATTATCAATATCAAAAGCGCGCGATATTCAAAGTCTGCGTTATTACCAGCCGACGTCGTTGGTCCATTCGCACAGTTTGCTAATTAGCGACGTAACAGTTTGTTACTTAGAATGATCTTCAGTTTTTAGCTTCGCTAACCACCAGGGACACATTTACACAATCTGGAGTGTCAATAAAGTATCCACAGTTAAATAACCAACGTATGTGGCCATATCAATGCATTTCCAGGTCGCCATGTTACGTAATCTCGGCTTGGAAAAATCAACGGGACCGGATGAGCTGAACCCAAGGCTGCTCAGAGAGCTTGCACTATATGTAGCCGGCCCTTCAACTACTATACTCAAACTGTCTCTCAGTGAAGGCACACTGCCCCACGACTGGAAGGATGCCATAGTAACACCTATCCACAAGGCGGATTCTAGGCATCTCCCATCAAATTACAGACAAATAAGTTTGACCAGTACTGTAGTGAAAATCCTAGTAAGAGTAATCAAGAAAGGCATCGCAGTCAACCTAGAGAGCAACACTCCATTCTCTCGTTCACATCACGGTTTTCGTAGAAATTTCTCTTGCTTAAAGAACCTCCTTACAGTCAGAGAAAGTTGGGTTAAGTCTAAAGATGATAGGACACCGGTAGATGTCATTTACATTGACTTTAGTAAGGCGTTCGACAAAGTAATTCATTCCAGGTTGCTCGCGAAACTGAAAAGTTTTAGAATCACTGGCAGTCTGCTCGCATGGATAAGAAACTTTCTTGTCGGTAAGAGACAAAAAGGTGGGATCAATTCTCAACTCTCCACTTGGAAGTCAGTAGAGAGTGGAGTACCGCAAGGCACAGTCCCGAGCCCCCTGCTGTTTCTCCTATACCTAAATGAGGTGCCGAATATCACGAAATTCCCTATGGTTCTCTGCGCTGATGATGTGCAAGCCTGGCGGGAAATTAGGAACGATGAGGATATGCTTGAGCTTGCACTTGAGGCACACACACAGCAACACCTATGATATCGATGGGACTCAGTACTGACCCATAATGAGCTAGAAATCACAGTGAGTTATGACATGAAAACCACAGCTCACTGTCAATCGGTAGCAGCTCGGAGTCTTAGGACTCTCTGGGTATTACGTAGAACGTTTGCGAAAATAAGTGGTGACATGTTCACCATCTTACACACATCCTCAGTTAGACCTAAATTAGAGGAATTTACACAGGCATTAAATCCTTGACAGAAGGTTGATGGAGATTTTCTAGAAAGAGTTCAGAGGGCAGGCACTCTCATGATCCTTGCGATGGCTGGCGTCACCTATGAAGACCGACTTAAGGAGATGAAGCTCTTCACTTTGTCCTATCGCAGACAGAGGGGTGACCTAATCATGCTATACAGGATTCTAAGAAGTGACTTCGGACCTGGTCTGTCTTCTCTTTCCTTTCACGCTATGTCGGAACACCTCAGAGGACATAGTAGGAGACTACAAAAGCAAAGAACGAAAATTGTCCCCGCAGAATACTGGTTCTCGCTTCGAGTAATCAACGACAGGAACCGACTCCCAGAAGAAGTGTTGTCCGCATCACCAATTGACTCATTCAAAAGACGATTGGACAAGTACAGAAATCTAGAAATATAGGCTCACAGCCTCCTATCCTGAAACAACAAATCCGAATCTGAAATCCCCAGGATGCGAACGCAAGGAAGTACAAAGGATTTCCACATCCACCAAAGAGGCAAAATCAAACAAACGTTTCGACCTAGAGACCAGGGTGCGAGAGTTCAAAAACTAACAGCTAGTATGTCTACTTGGAAAATGCTAAACATTGGACTGACCCTGCTTACCTGACGCGCCGCAGTTGAAAGGATTCAAGGTTCTCCAGGGCGCCAAGTTAGGTGGTCAGCTGGTTATGATTTCTGTATGGACCGTTTACGAGGACATTTTATTGTAGGTTTTTTGTCTCTTAATGTTGTAACAGGTACACATTCTTACTGTCTCCTTGTTAATTGGAGCTTTGAGACAATTATATGGGAATAAGTCCCCAGTTGTAATAATACCTGGTGATGGGGGATGTCAGGCGTACTGCAAACTAAAGAATTCTACATCTCCTCCTTTCTTGGTGTGGATAAATTTACGCTATTTCCTGGAGCCCGGAAAATTGACCGATTACTTCGGGTAAGGGTTTCTGATGCCTAGTTGTCACTGAATTGTAGTCTAGTGTATGATCCGATTACCAAAAGGTCAAGGAATCCTGAAAGTACAGACGTATTATTCCCTGGTTGGGGCGAAACATGGTCGATCGAAAATTTAGACAGCTACAAACATGGGAGAACTGAATATTGTGCGCCAATTATCGAGTCACTTCGTCTGGATTCTTACTTCGTTTCAAATTGGACTATGCGTGGTGCACCTTTTGACTTCCGTAAAGCTCCAAGTTAGTTTGTGTTTGCAAATTACCGTGATATCAGATGAGAACGAAGATTTCAGTGGCAAATTGAAGTACCTAGTCGAAGAAACCTACCACAATGGTGGGAATCGACCTGTCGTTCTGGTTGGCCATAGTTTGGGTGCTAAGTATGCAATGTATTTCTTGAAATCCATGACAGGATCGTGGAAGAAAACCTATATCAAAACCTTGGTTTTGCTTAGCGCACCTCTTGGTGGGTCAGTAAAGGCTCTTAAAATCGAGGCGAGTGGTATGTTGCTAAATTAATAGAATATTTACCTATTCTTCCATATGTACTCATGTTTACATATCATAGTTTTGACGACCGAAACTTATTTTATGATGTCATTTCATTCGCACTAGGATTAATCTATCGTTGGATTTAGATGTACAGGATCCCACTGGGATGTTGCTGTTGTCGGTTTTGCTTAACTTTGTAGTAGACAGGCTAACAGACATTACCCAGTGCACTATTGACTTTGGAGCATTTGATTTGTGACCAGGAAGGGACCTGATTTACTCAGAGTACCCAGACGATGTGGATCTTTCAGCCGGAAACATTGAAAAGTGAAGGCTTCTGAAAGCCTTGAATACAAATCTGAGTATATTTGAGATGCGTTTTGCACTGTCAAATCTGCGATGATACTGCGTTAAAAGTCTGGAACATCTCCAAGTCTAAGCGGTAGACTCCAAGATTTTTGGCTTTATGTTGCAGCCTGTCAGAGTTTTGCTCCACTTAGGTTTACTCTGATCCCACCGAGATTTGTGACTTTTGCTTGCAGATGTCTTGTCGATATCGACTGGCCGTACTCTAAATGCGTGAAATCTTGCCCTGAATAAGATCAATTCTTTTCATCCAACTGTCGTGCTAACTTTTATCTCCATTCAAACCTTTGTTTTTGTTCCATTACCCCACCCAGAACATAGCCACGTTTTTATAGTATCATACTCCTGTCATATTTAATAATAACAGTAATCCATCCTTGCAAATGTAACATACCTAGGTTTACAGGTACGATTACATACTTATACCAGTTCGACAACTGAAGCTGGTATAGACTCACTGCTTTCGAGTAACAATCGGCAGATTTAAATTAAAGTACGAAATACTGATGTGTAATAGTTACCCGGATGTTTTGTACTTGCAACATTTTTCACAGATGAAGTCCGCTCGAAATTTCAGAAGGAAAAGCATATAAAACTGGCCCCCCTGCATATAGCTGCTACCTTGACGTGGTTGTGGGGCTTACATATCACAATGACCCAACGAACTTTGCTGGTGGAACGCTTGTTCCTTCGAGTTTCTACCACTCCAGTAAGGTCTGTTGGTTAGTAGTAAGACAAAAAGCAGTTACCGTTGTAGTGTAAATTACTACACTATGTTGGGGGCCTGAGATCAGTCTTTCTGCTGCTAGCTGAATGGGATGTGACAGTAGTAAGGTGTTTCATCCCAATGGTCAGCAGTGACACCCTGATGCTGCCCTCCCAATGAGAAGAGGAGGGTTAGATAAGGTCAGCCCCCGGCTGTGTAAACGGGCGCAAGCAGATGTCCTCTGGACTCTGCATCATCATCATTATCAACATAGGACCAGGCATTACTGCGTAACGGTCCGAGTTGCCACACCTCATATCAGCACATCAAGTAAAAAGGTAGTGAGGTGAAGGATGAAGATAAGTGAATGCAGTCAAAAGAAATATAAAGTATGAGAAGAAAGGAAAGAGGAGTGACAAAATAGTGAGATTCGGTATAGCGTTGTTAAGATGAGGATAATGTGTGTATACATCTGCGCCACTGACTTCGGTTCTGAGCCATATCACCTAGGGTCTCCAACCACTGGTTCCTCTTGTCCCGTGGACCCCAACCACCTAGTCTGCATCGTCCTACATGGCTTAAACCAACAGTCAGAGACTTCATACATTGGTGCCATGTTTTAGTCTGGCCACCTCGGGCCTTTTTCCAGCCTGAACCCACCTCAGCCAACATTGTGTGACGAGGCAATCGGTGACTAGGCATACGTAGTACGTGTCCCAACCATCTCAGTCGATGAAGGTTCACAACCTCGTCGACTGACTTACCTCTTCTCCCTAAAACTCTACACCTAACTTCTGCATTACTCACATGGTGACACCACGGAATACGTCCTATACTACGAAGGCAACGGTGGTCAAATACCTGTAACCTTCTCATGTCTTCCACTTTCAATGGCCATGTTTCACAGCCATACAGTAGAACAGAGCGGACTGCTGTGCAGTACACGCGACCCTTAATAGACAAACGAATATCACGGCGGCGCCATAGGTGGCGCAAATTGGCAAAAGCCAATCGAGCCTTTTGTATCCGTGCAGAAATCTCATCGGCAACTAACCCACCGGAGTTGATCCTACTTCCCAGGTAAGTGAAGTGGTCAACACACTCAACCACTTCACTCTCTATTGTTAACCGCGGTACCGCTGAAGACCAGTCCTGGAGCAAAAATTTGCATTTGGGTGGTGAAAATCGCATCCCAAACATTCTCAAATTCCCACTCAAAGTGTTCAGAAGACTCTGCATCTTGTCAGCGTCTTCACCTAACAGGACTATGTCATCTGCATATTCTAGATCTAAGGAAAATTCACCTGTGATCGGTCAACGTCTTTGTAATTAGGTGACGAGAGGGAAACCTCCATAAGAATATCTATGATAAAATTAAATAAGAATGGGGATAGTGGGCATCCTTGACGGACACCACTTGATGAGTATAGCTCCCTGGACAACTCACCATAGGCTCTAACATGCCCACAAGTGTTCGAGTAGAGAGCTTTCAATAAGGTGATGTACTTACTAGGCACGCCTTTCAGTGACAGACACTGCCATAAGACTTCTCGATCAACGGAGTCAAATGCCGCCTTCAGGTCGAGAAATACAGCTATTGTCGGGCGTCTGTAAGCATGCCTATGTTCCAGGACCTGGCGCAGTGTGAATATTTGGTCGATACATCCACGGCCAGGTCTAAAGCCTGCCTGGTTTTCTCGGGCTTGCTGTTCCCGAGCTCCACTCAGGCGTCGGAGAATTATAGAACTTAGGATCTTAGACACTATGTTTGTCAGGCTGATTCCTCTGTGGTTATCACAAGAGGACTTCTCGCCTTTCTTGAAGACTGGGATGATGAGTGACTTAGACCAGTCGGAGGGGATCGTATTTGATTCCCATATACTGGCTAACACTTCCGTTAGCCTGACTAAGAGAACTCTACCACCATTCTTGTATACCTCAGCAGGTAGTCCGTCTGGTCCTGCTGCCCTTCCCCGTTTCAGGCTACCTACCGCTTTCTCAACTTCTTCTAGTGTTGGGGGACCTGTCTCTATGTCCCATTCAGGGTCCGACTGGATAGCGGGCAGCGCAATGGTGGCTGGAGGCCAGTTAAACTGTTCCTCAAAGTGTTCTGCCCATCGTCCCAGTCGCCTTCCCTGCGAGTGAATCGCCGATCCGTCCTTCTCCGCTATAACCTCACTAACTGTTGTTGACCATTTCCCCCCAGTCTCCTTAATAAGTCTAAATAACTGTCTACTGTTACCGATCGCCGCTGCCTTTTCCATCTCTTTAGCCTTTGCTGCCCACCACTGTTCACGATCGTTGCGCAGACTTTTCGTCAGTTTATTTTTAAGTTGCGCTCGCTCTTCATTGTACTCAGAGCCTGCAGGGATGCATTCACGTGCATCCATTAGTTTGGAAGAAGCTGCTGATATCCACTGGCTCTTTTTAGCCATTATCTTGGAGTCGGCTACAGTCTCCAGTGCTGCTTTTACAGTAGACTGAAGATGGCACCAAGCTTCTTCTGGATGAGTGACAGTCTTTTGTTCCGATAACTGCCTAGCCAACTTCTCACTGAACACGGCTTTGGTGTTTTCGTTGTCCAGCAGAACTCGTAGTGGTTTTGTTGCCAAATTTTTTCTACGTCCATTGAGACGCAGGCATATACGTGCTCGGACCAACGCATGATCGCTGTCCAAACACGTACTCCAGAAGGAGCGGCAGTCTTCCACCGATCCTCTCCAGCGATGACTAATAGCAATGTGGTCTATCTGTGTCCATCGCTGAGTCGAGCTCGGTGGACGCCAGGTCAGACAGTGCCTTTCTTTATGTGCTGGCTAAAAATAGGCGGTTATCTGAGCATAGTTGTAATAGGCGATCACCGTTATCTGTACGTTCAGCTGGGATTCCGAAAGTGCCACCTAAGTGCCTTTCTGCCTCACTCAGTCTACCCACCTGTGCGTTGAGGTCACCTGCAACAACCACTACGTCCGAACGTTTGGCTTTCGAGAGGAGGTTAGACAGTTTATGGTAGAACTCGTCCTTCACTTCATCCGAACTACAGTCAGTGGGTGCGTAAGCAGAGATTACAAAGAGACAACGGCGAGTCTCACTATTCCTTTTAGTTCTCACTGTGCCGTTCAGCCTCATAGCGCAGAGGCGACTATCAACTGGGATCCAGTCTAGTAGTGAGTTTTCTGCCCTGGTGCTTAATGCTATACCTACACCTGCAAGACCACGAGAGCTAGCTATCGAATCTCCAGAAACTCGAAGGGTGAATTTTGCAGATTCACCAGATTGGTCAGGAGAGGTCAGGTGAATAACCACACTTGGGTCCTGTATGCGTGTCTCACAAACACAGCACACATCCATGCCCGAGTTGCTAGAGTCTTTGCCAACGAAGCCTGTTGGCCAATTTGACGGAGGGTGCGGACATTGAAGGCTCCAATATGTAATTTGGAGCGTGGTTTAAGGAGACCAGGGATGCTGTTCTGTGGACTCAGATCGTTGTCGAAGGCTGCAGAGGTAGGAGAAATTGAAGATGATGCAGCATCATTAATTAAGAGACGTGAAGGAAGATTAGAAGGTAATGATGGAGGAGGAGGATAGCAGTCAGAAGAAACTTGGGTGCTGACAGAGTTGTGAGGGCGGTTGACACTTCCCGGCTGCCCACACCGTGGAAGGCTATTTCTTCTTAAGGTACCTGAAAGAGATTTGTGTGACCGCAGAGCCCATCGGACATCTGCTTGAGGCCTGTCACACCCAGCCTTTTGAGTATGATTATTTTGAATTTTTGTATTTTTGGGGCCGGATGAGCGAAAGGAAACGACAAGTGAACCAACACCGCCGGCCCGGCAGACCGTGGGGCGTGGTGGAGTGTGTTATTTTTGGGGCCGACCTTTTCTAACCCCCCCTTCCACTGAGAAGGCAGCATCAGCTTGGCACTGCTGGTCATCCAA